TCAGCCACGTTGAGCTGCTTAAAGCCGTCCTTGTCGTCGGATTCATCGGACGTGTCGGAGATCACACTGTTTTCCGGGAAGTTAGGCATGGGTTCTGCGTGGGGTACTGGTAGAGGGTTTGCTGGATCGTCATTTTGAGAATCGTCTGAGGCGTCATCTTGATCGGAATCTAGGGGCGTATGGTGGGTTTTCTCCTGAGGGTCATCTTGGGGGTCCTGTGCGGGGAACGCCATCACCACTGGCCCTCCTTGGAAATCTGATCCGGGGCTGTCTTGGGGGTCTTTTTGGGTCATATTTTGGGAGTTATCGGGATTGGTACTTGGTTTTCTGGGCATACTTCTTAACAGCATTTGGGGATCATCAATAAATTTTTTTGGGGGGGCTGCTACCGGGTTATTTGGACTGTTATCTTGAGCGGATTCTTTGGGGTTATCTTGGCTGTCCGATTTGGTGTCATTTGGGTAGTTGTAATTTGACTCAGAATCTGGCATTTTTCTCATTCTTAATTGGGGGGATGCTAGTGGACTATTCATAGGGTTGTTTTGGGGGGATGCTAGTGGATTGTTCATAGGGTTGTTTTGGGGGGATGCTAAGGGCTCATTCAGAGGGTCATTTTGAGAGTGGGTATCCGTGGGTGCAGAGGTATTGGCTTGGTGGTTTTCTTGGGAGCCTGGGGACAAGAACATAGATGCTAAAGCCCTGTGTCTTTTTTGGCTCGAAAGATAAGTTCAATATGATTTTATTTACTCCAAAAATAGACACTAGCTGCTGCTCGGTAAATACAATATACACACCCGCACACCCTTGTGAACTCTCTCTCTCTCTCTCTCTCTCTCTCTCTCTCTCTCTCTCTCTCACACACACACACACACACACACACACACCTTTACAAACACGGACGCACACATACAACGACGACGACGACAACGAAGAAGAAGAAGAAGAAGAAGAAGAAGAAGAAGAAGAAGAAGAAGAAGAAGAAGAAGAAGAAGAAGAAGAAGAAGAAGAAGAAGAAGAAGAAGAAGAAGAAGAAGAAGAAGAAGAAGAAGAAGAAGGAGAAGGAGAAGGAGAAGGAGAAGGAGAAGGAGAAGATATGTAATCTTCGGTACTTCATAGTTTTATTAATAAACTTCAAGTTCCCGCCTCTTAATATAACCTAATAGTATTAAACCTGCACCATTTCACCATTGTGATCTAACTGTGTGGCATGTGCTGTAACACCCAAACTTAATTTTAAAAAAACCCAACCGCCAACAAATGAAACAGATAGATCTACAGCGTCCCTGTCGTAGTTTAACAGTTTCACACCTAATTACTCACACACTTTCTATTTGCTTAAAAAGCAAAGACATATCTTTTAGACAAGGTGACATTATCTAGAGCGATGCTCAAGCTTTGCGCTAACGCAAAAGTCGCACAAAAAGAAGAGCGTGGGATATAATACACTTTTTGGGGGGGGGGGGGGGGGGGAGGTGTTGGTCTCTCATGTCGGCATTTGTATGGTAAGATTTCGAGAGTAAATGGTCGCTTTTAAGGACAAGCGGGCCAACCCAGATTTCGGGGGTTTCCATTGCCCTACCTTTCGGGGAAGTTTGGTTTCATTGGTGAGTATAATATTTGTTTGGTTATAGAGAAAACTCTCTTTGTCTTTTAAAGAAACTGAACAAGGGACAAAAACCTTCCTATCGATTGTCTGAAAACAGCATTTTCGGAATAGCCCCCTTGTGCTTAACAGCGACCAATTTGGAGAAGAGGTTCCCGCAAGGCGACGGTTACGGCTTCTCATACTGACCTGGTGGGTTGGCAGATGTCGGATCGTCTGTGTGTGTCGGAGAAGGTCCTGGAGGAAGATATACTCGAAATGATAACAACCACAACAACGGTGACAATAATGATAATAATAATAATAATAATAATAATAATAATAATAATAATAAAAATAATAACAATAATAATAATAATAACAATAATAATAATAATAATATTAATAATAATAATAATAGTAATAATAATGGTAATAATGATCATAATTGTAATAATGATACTACTACTGCTACTGCTACTGCTACTACTACTACTACTACTACTACTACTACT